GTTCCGACAAACTTGTCAGGTACAACATCAGGAATTAGCAGCAGGTTTAGGGTGAAACTAGTAAGAGGTGTTTATCAGGAAGAAGCCACCTACTTGCCTTCACCCCATGTTATAGTTGCACTAAACTGTGCATTGGACAGATACTCCAATTGGGGCGGTGCTCTTGATTTGATTAAAGCCATCGGTGTCCCTGCTTTCTTTACCGAGCAGTCAGAAATTTTGTGTGCAAATGCTAAACAGGTTCTCCGTGGTGCTGGACTACGTATCACCCACCCTGTGACACCAAATCCCTTCCGATCTCCGGTGAAGAATAACAATTCTTCCACCAATCTTCATTCTTACAGCAACGGATTTGTGCTGGGGGTAAACACCTGACTCAAGTTTCAAGCATTAACGGACGTTAGAACCTAAAGTTTTTTTATGATTTTATTCTAGAAATATATTGTATGCTCTTGATTGTCTTACCTACTGATCAGGTATTGCCTGATAGACAACATGGGAATGAAAATCTAAATGTAATTGAGTTGAATTACCAACTAGTTGATGTAGAACTTCATTGTTATTCCGTCATTTCTGATTAATAAAAACCCCATGCTTGTACGAGAGATTTTACGTTCTCCCTCCGCGAAAATACTGGATATTATTCTGCTTAGGTTTTGCCTTGTTGGCACATTTCGTTACTATTGTTGTATCTTTTTACCGCAGTAATAGAACTCTTCCTAGAGCATCTATCTATTAAAGAATTATCATTTTCATATATGTTTTTTTTTTTTTGGATAAGTAGATTTTTATTATCCAAATAGGAAGTACAACAACCAAAGTCTCAAATAGGAGTATAAACGCTATTTACAACAACAAAATGTTAATCTATACCCCAGTAATTACAAAGGTTAACATTAACTCTATCAATTCTATTAAGATTCCTATCACTAAGTTTGATTCGGACAAAGTCTTTAATAACCCTTAGAACTTGATCAATCGATCTCGATTCTCCTCTGAAAATTCTTCTGTTCCTTTCTTCCCAAACCGAATAAATAAAAGCAGTCCATGCTAATTTCAAAATGATGATAAGAAGGAATTTACCCTTCCATTCCAGAACAGCCCAATTAATCCTGGATTCCCAAGTATTGTGTATGTTACTCAAAGAAGTAAGACTCAAGATAGTGTTCCACAGTGAAGTAGCATAAGTACAGTGCACAAACAGATGGTTTCTGTTTTTAGGAAACTCATTACATAAGATACATAACTCATCAGAAGCAATCCCCATTTTAATAAGCCTATCCCGTGTTGGAAGTCTGTCAAGAATGGTCATCCAAGAGATAATACTGAGTTTAGGTATATGGAGAGGGAACCAGACTATTCTGTGCCAATGAACCTTAGTTTTGTGAACTCTCAGTTCCTCCCATAAATTCTTTGTCCTCGTTAAACCAGAATTAAGAAGGGACAAAGCTTCACTCTTTAGTCTGATAAGTTTCCATTTTCATATATGTTTTTCCTCCTTTCTCATACTACAATATGAATAGGATCCATTACTGAGTTTTATACATGGATAATATCCAATCCTGATGCTAACATGGATTTACATGCTTCAATAACTGAGTTTGAAAGATTTTGAAAACACCAGGAGCTCTCTGTGTAAGTATGGTGAAACGAATGTGTCATCTTCGACAGTCGTAGACTTGGGAATAGTAAATTTCACATTCAGACGTCATTCAAGGTCAAGTCTATCATTTCAAATACAATTCTTTTTCCATCAGGACCTCACAATGGATTGTCTCAGGAAAGGCGACTAATATACGGTTAATATACGGCATTGCCGGATATATTAAAAGATATTTAATAAATTTGGTTTAGCGCTACCTATTATGTTGACAGACTAAAAATGTTTTAGGTAGAAAACATGAAAAACTATTAAAAAAATTGGTAACTGGTAAACTTTGGTTATCGGTAAGTATCGATACATATATATAAGTGTCCATACTTATTTCACTATGAAAAACATTAATTTAAGGTTATTTTTTTAATGAGTTTTAAGATATTAATTTAGTAATTATACACGTCTAATGGTTTATTTTTATGTTATGGTATATATTATTATTAAATTAAAAATAATAAACATAGATATTACATATTTATTATTATCTTTGGTTAAAATTGTTAAATTTAAATTCTAAATAATATTTTATAAAATATCAAAACAATCAAATAATTTTTTGTGTAAATGAAATTATAAATTAATATTGTAGGTGGAAAACATAAAACACTATTAAAAAATTTTGAAACATAAATTACATAACTCAACAAAGTATTGATACATTTTTATAAAAAGTATCTATACTTTCAACATATTAGGTAAATTTGACCGATTTTATCATAATGAAACTGATTTTGTCATATTTTTACCTGTTATATTGTAAAGTATCAACCATTTTTATAAAAATGATCGATACTTTATAATATAACAGGTAAAAATATGATGTAATAGGTAGCGCTTATATAATGTAATAGGTAGCGCTTATATAATGTAATAGGTAGCGCTTATATAATAAAATAGGTTAATTACTGGAAACATTATCAAGCACAATAACATATTAGATACTGCTTATATAATGTAATAGGTATCGCTTATATAATAAAATATGTTAATTATTGGAAACATTATCAAGCACTTCAACATATCCGGTAAATTTTATCGGCTTTGTCATAATGAAACTGGTTTTGTCATATTTTTACATGTTATATTGTAAAGTATCGATATATTTTTATAAAGTATCGATACTTTATAGGCACTATTACTGCTTTTCTTTTAAATTTCAAAAGTGTCGATACTTATTTAAATGGAATCGACACTTTCAATATATCCAGTAGGTAGTTTAATGTAATAGGTAGCGCCTATTTTTTTTTACTGGTTACATTATTATACTTGATAATGTTTCCAGTAAATAACCAGTTATGTTATCCTTGGTAATATTTTAGGCTTTTACCTAATATATTGTAATAACAAATTAAATAATTAACATATTTTATTATATAAACACTAATTATTACGTTATATAAGCGCTACATAATATATTATTGTGCTTGATAATATTTCCAGTAAGTAACCTATTTTATTATATAAATGCTATCTATTACTTTATATAAGTTTTACCTAATATATTATTGTGCTTGATAATGGTTGCAGTAATTAACCTATTTTATTATATAAGCACTACATATTACATTATATAAACGATACATAATATATTATTGTGTTTGATAATATTTCCGATTAACTTCACCCTCACAATCAAACATTGAGATTCATCTAACCCAATATCCAATTCTCTCAATTACGTCCCGTAAAGTTTGAAACTTTGGGTATCCAATAAGGTCCCAATTAAAAGGCCCCACGGCATCAACTTGCCCACTTGGCCTCTAAAAAATGGTGCAGACAAGGCAACTTGAGACTTTCTATCTCCTTATATAAACCAACCCCTGTCCTCATACATCCAATTAGGCAGCCAAAAAAAAATTCCTCTCATCGGAAAATGGAGGTTCCTTTCCCTGCAAACCAACTTTCTCCTTTGCATTATTTCCTTGCATCTCCTGGCCTTTTCTCCAACCAGATTGTTCCTGAGAACTATGTTAGTTGGACTGAAACCCCAGAGGCACACGTTTACTCTGCTGATCTTCCCGGTAACTCTTTGCCATAGACAATTCATTTTAATCCCTTGTTTTCTTTTCCTTTACCTTGTTAGTTTTTCTTTTCCTTTACCTTGTTAGTTTTTGTACTTAGCATTTTGTTTCATGTCATTTTTTGTTTACTTATATTAGGTGTGAGGAAGGAAGAGATAAAAGTGGAAGTTGAAGACTCAAGATATCTTATAATTAGGACCGAGGGAATCAATGATTCGAAGAAGCCAGCCATGAACTTCATGAGGAAATTCCGACTGCCTGGTTCGGTAGATATCGATGGAATATCAGCCAAATATGAAGATGGGGTCTTGACAGTAACCGTGCCAAGGTCTTTCGGGAGGGGTGGTTTCTATATTGACCCTGCTGATGTGCCTGATAGAGTTGAGGTTCTTGCAAGGGCTGCCTAAAGTTGGAAATACAACTTGGTTTACCTGTTTAGTTAGCCTATGGTGTCCTACTCAATGATTAGATTTTATTGTAATGTAGGCCTCTTTTTGTGGGCTGGGAATTGAACCCGGGGAACATTTCTGTAGCAAACATTAGATTTTCCCCGGAAACAAACATCCATGGATATTTGGCAAACATTATATTGCATCCATTTGGTTGAATATTATGTACATTTTCTTTACAGTTCTCCCTTAACTACTTGTTGGTGAGATTATTGAATCTAAATTGTAGAACAGCTGTGAACTTAAAGTTGGCAAAGAACTGCAGTGGAAGATACGCATTCAGACGACCAAACATGCTTCAATTGAAAACAAGTTAAACACAAGGCCTTGTTAGTGGTTTTTTTTTTTCTGCGAATCTAAAAAAGGGCTTCCCTCCCAGTTGGTAAAATGGTTGTACACAAACGGTCCTTTAATGCAGGTGGTTAGATATTTTTTTCGGGTGGAACTCTGGCCACAATGTCAGGTCAGTCACGTGCGCAGCTGCCATAGGGACTAGGGACGGGGAGCACCGCTAAATTAATTTAAGTTGAATGACAAACTACATTGAACAATAAAGGGGAAAAGTGCAGCTTTCCTTGATTAAACCAGCTTTGTAATTAACAAAGTTGCCTCTTTGTTGACGAAAATATCTGCTGCAACTTGAAATATCGCAAATATATACGAAGAGAAAGGGCGTTCTATAACAACAAAAAGCACTCGATCAAATAGTAGTTACAATTTTTCACCCCAATTCTGCACATATAGCGCAAGTAGCAACATCAGATATACACCCCTCTAATTTACCAAAAGATGTATAGTCCATAATCAGCAATTTAGCATGTTACAGCTACATGTTTAAGAAATAGGCCAACGAAGAAATTTTTTAGGCCTTTCCTCTCGGAGATCGATTCAACCAAAATTGCTCTAGTTTTCAAAGGGCGGACGTTCATCTGCAGGTGGTGGAGCAAATCTGACATTTGCTGGCTATGCTACCACCACAGCATCTTCAGCAAACATGGCTTTAATAAAGGATGGGGTTTTTAGGGGTCGACGACCCGTCATTCTTGCATATACATCTTCGAGAAAATAGTAGGCATGACCAGCAATCATTCCCTGGATAAACACAATATTTAGTTTCACAAAACAAAAGTCACAAAAGTAACAATGATAACTGTTGACCGACAAGATGCAAAAGTAGAATATGACAGCGATGAGGATTTAAGCAAAGTGAGACTATAACAGCTGGAAGCTTATAGGGCTACAGCATAATTATATGGAAGTCTCATAGTCCAACATACAGACATACTCCCCCACATCAGCGAGCATAGATAGAAAAGGATTTATTATACAAATATAGCTTAATCCAATTGGCTCAACATGCTACAATGGTTTTTTGAATTATGCAAAAAATTCACATAACAGGCACTATAAAGGAAGCGTACCAGGAGATCCACCCAAGCACTAGCACCAACAAGGACAGAGAATCCTAAAAGCACCTGTAATACAGGGAAAGGAAGCAATCACATTCTTTAGCAAGAAGTAGGATCAAGATCACAAACATAAATAAGAACAGTAAAACTTTAGTCCAATGGGAAATCCACCATAGAAGCCTTTGAAATAGAAAATAGAAAATCGAAGAACAATAAAAGAAAAAGAAGGATAAAATGAATAAAGGTACATACCCAGGGTAAATAAGCTGCTGTAAAGGTAAATAGACCAAGAAAATTCATATGTATGAAAGGGTTCTGTTTGCTCCACACATAAACCTACAATGTGTAGTGCAATAAGATGGCTTCCAAAATGAATACCAGAAAACATACACTACTAGTAAACCATATTTTGCATCCAGATGAAGGCAAACATTCTTAGTCTTACCATCATGAATGTCAATGAATTGCTGAGAAATATGATCTTGGCAAATGATGCTGATAAATAAGGTATCATTCCTCCAATAAGAACGATGCCAGTTAAGACAGAAGCTCCAAACAAGAGCATGTAAAAGAAATCTGCAGTCCTTCCCCTGAAAGAGTTCTCTTCGAGAAGCTTGCAGTATCGTGCAAGAAAGAACATGTGAAACATGAAATCCAAATCTGGCATTATCAAAGGATATCGTGCTAAATATATAAAATGATTTGAGAACACCAGCTTCAATCATATCAAAGTTATCACATATACACGCCAGGACAATCACTATTAATTTTGAAGATGTTTAATGTCAGTGGTAGAATGAACTAAGAAATGAAGCAAGAAGGGAAGGACGGGGTATGTACAATGGACTCAACTCTTTTTAAAAAAAATTATACCTCATTTCACTTTTAGCTACACACAAAATAATCTAAATCACAACTGCATTTGCATACTTTTGACTAAATGCTGAAGGCAGACATAAAGAAACCCATGTTGCTTGGACTCTTCATTTTTCATTAAGTGAAGTATCGCACTACAACTCTCTTTTGTTCCAATTGGAACATTCTACATCTTTAGCAATAACATGCACAACATACAACACAGCATTGTTCGAATTTACCCATCTTGCGGAAGTACAAAAAGTTAGTAATGAGGCGCCAGAATTGATACTGCTTAACAACGAGCTTAGGGTTCAAGTACAGATGATAAGGTGATATTATCTGCAAAAATTCAGAATTAAATTAGATTAGCATGACAATCCCCGATAATATAAAAAATTCTTTTTGAATCAGGATGGAAAACCAATAATACCCAATTGTCTATTATACCCAAAACGAAGAAATCAAACAGGGGGAACAGACCACTGGCTAGGTTTGCCTGCTCGAATTCCCAACTAAGTTTTCTCAAGAAATAAATTTCGAAGCATAAATGATAAAATGGAAAACCATATGGCAATTCCAATTGGGAATCGCCAAATTTATAAAACTGAGACGAGCACAGATCAAATCTGCGGAAAATATCAATACCCTTTACATATGAATTAAAAGGCAAGCGCTAATTAATCAATGAAAATTGAAGACACGATTTCAATCCTATTGCCCCGATAGAGAAAAATAACACCAAAACAAGAATAAAAGCAATAAGAACATATTTTAAAAGGAAAAGTGGCAAACATCGAGAGAGCAACAGATAGTGGTAACTACGGCAGCTGTGAGATACGAACGGGTGATGATTGGCATCTGCTTATACCATTCTTCAACAACTTGAGCCATTTTCTTTCTTTTTTTAACAGAGAAAGTTCTCTTTAATTTCAATAAAAACAAAAAATTGAACCAAGATAATTTGAAGGGCAATTCAATAAAATTGCTAACTTGAATTTCTGGGCTTTGGTTTTTCAAGATTGAAACAGAGATTAACGAAGAACCCAACGGGAAACGCTACAAGGAAACAAAGAGTAATTTGGCTATGCTGTATAATACGTGTCTTGTTTAATGACAAATTCAGGCGAATCAGAGTGCGCGTAGTTGACACGAACCAATCGTACTGCATTAGCTGGCAAATAAATAGTAAGCCATGGCATAATTCATAATAGAGAAAATAATCTCAGTGACCAAAAATACCTTATAATATACCATTTTAACCAATTTTTTTTGGATTTGCCAAAATGACCAACTAAATCGCAATGCGATCGATAATTCGCAACGCAATCTCCGGTATCGCAAATCAGTTTCCAGATTCGCAACGCAATTCTGACTATCGCATTGCGATTTTCCGACCATCGCATTGCGATTTTCCGACTATCGCAATGCGAATATGTAAATCGAAATACGAGTATGTAAATCGCAATACGAATATGTAAATCGCAATGCGATTATGACTATCGCAATGCGATTCTGACTATCGCAATGCGATTCTGACTATCGCAACGTGATTCTGACTGTCGCAACACTGAATTTCAAATTCGCAATAGGTTTTAGTTTCGCAACACAAATGTTTTGGGTATATAACTACGCAGCAGAAGCAACTCATAACCTAAATCCCTAAATCGCAACTCGTTCCATCTCCATCTGTCACTCTCTCCGGTGACATCCGTTCCTATATCCAACGACATCCTTCCCCATCCGGCAACAGGTTTTAGTTTCGCAGCTCGTTTTAGTAAATTAATTTACAATAATGAAATCATCTAATTTTGATCATGTTTGGATAGATTTGTGTTTTGGAGGGTCATGAGAGAATGTTCATGGTGTTTTACAATATATGCCTTTACCCATGAATCTTCAACTAAAACTGTCATTAAAAAAGTTAACTTATGAAACTCTAATGTTACGTGTTGCAAATAAATTGAATTTAGAGCCCTTAAGTGGATTTAGGCTATCTTATCAGAGAAAATGTAAAGTTTATTTGTTAACCGACAATGAAGATGTTGAACGATTCATTGATTACATTAGTGTTTCGCAAGATGATGTTACATTGTATGTTGTTGAACCTAGAAGTAGTGAAGTTGGGTCAGTAGCGGGTAGTAATGAACTAAGTTTTTCAACCCCAGTTTATGGTGCTCAAAATTTAATGGTTCCACCAAAATTTCATCACCAAGCAAATTTTGTTTCACCACATTTCCAATACCAAACACAATCTCAAAACCCACAACCTTTCCCTAATTCAAATCCCAATCAACTTTCAGCACCAAATTCCAGTTTTCGTATTAACCAGTTAGACGATGATGAGCCAACAGAAAAATTGTGAGTACTAGTCGGTATTCGAAATTTGATCTTGGTCAATACCCGGACTTTGATCTTGGTCAATACTCGGATTTTGATGATGTTTCAGAATAAGAAACAGACCCTGCGTGTAATGATTTCGATATTGATCAATACCCGAATTTTGATGATGAAACAACCGCTGCCGAGGAAGATGTTGTTGATGATAATGAGGAGGAAGTTACGACTGTGAATGAACATGTTGAACATACATTCTGTAATTCATATAACCCTGAAGAAGAAAAAGAAGAAGAAGAAATCCCCGAAGAAAAGTCCCCGAAGAAAATACCACGGGAGTATAACTGGAATATGCCAGAATTACTTCAGATACCGGAAGAAGAGTTGGTAAAAATAGCAGTTGATTGTTACACAAAAATTATTAGTATCAAGAAAGATGATTGTTTTGATACAAAGGAAGACTTGAAGATAGCTTTGTATACGAAATGTGTGGAAGATGGCTATCAACTAAAAGTTAACAAATCAAGCAAATATTGTTTCGAAACAAGGTGTATGATTGACAAAAACTGTACGTGGCGTATGATTGCAAAGAGGATAAAAGATTGCGAAATGTTTCAAGTTAGGACTTTTATTGATAAACATACATGTTCAAGAACCCAAGCTTTTCCTCACCATAGACAGGCAAAAAAAAAAGGTGTTGGGTGGTTTTCTGGCTGAGTTAATGTTTTTGAATGGCATGGTATATCGGGGACATGAAATTATGACTGACATGAATACTCGGTTCAAGATTAGTATCTCATATTCTCAAGCTTGGAGAGCCAAATGTTATGCCTTGGAATTGTTGAGGGGGTCGCCAGAAGCATCGTTTGTCCAACTGCCGGCTTATTGTCACAATTTAAAGCTGAAAAATCCTGGGTCGGTAACTCATATCAAAACAGATAGAGATGAACGCTTTGAGTTGTTGTTTATCGCCATTGGTGCTGCGGTTAGTAAATCAATTTAATTTTGTTGACTCATTTTTGTTAGTTACATGCATTTCACATTTAAATGTTTATATTTCTTGTGTATATGATTTTGTAGATTCGTTCGTTTATTACTTGCATGCGCCCAGTTATTATAGTTGACGGAGCATATTTAAAAGGTCGATACCTTGGAGTAAACTTATAAGCAGTAGCCATGGATGCTAATAATTGGATACTGCCAATAGCTTACGGGGTTGGCAAATCTGAAACCTCTGATTCATGGACATGGTTTATGGGGTATCTTAGGGATTGCATAGGTCCTATTAGCAATCTGACAATCATATCCGATAGGGAAAACTCAATTGACAACGCTGTTAGAAGGTGTTTTTCATATGCTTTTCATGGACTTTGTGGTGTTCATTTATATAGAAATCTAAAATCAAGGTCTGCTGGTATAAAAAATCACAAATGGACATACTGGAAGGCTGTAAAACTTATCGGGAAGTTGATTTTAATAAGCATATAAATTGTTTAAGACGTGTTTTGCCTCAATGTGCTCAAACACTAGAAGATGTCGGGTTTGAAAGATGGTCAAGAGTACATCAACTTGGAGCAAGATGTGGTTTTATGACGTCTAATAGTGCAGAATCAATCAACGCTCTAAGTCGTCATTCCCAGAAATTACCCATTACTATGTTAATGGAGTTTTTTCGAGCCTCTATTCAACAGTGGTACTACAAGAAAAGAAACCATGCAGGTATTATTTCTTTAAATTCGTAACTTATCATATATTTTACTAAGTATTGTTTATTTAAATTTACAGGAACATTGGAACATCGTGTTACACCATGGACTGAAAAAAAGATAACGAAACGTGTTGTGAAGTCAACGTCATGGAGAGCTGAACCATGTTCAAACACTTATTTTGAAGTACTGGATAATAACTTAAATGGGCTTGTCGATCTAAATGCAAAGACGTGTAGTTGTATGAAATGGCAAACATTTGGTTATCCGTGTGGGCATGTTATAAAAGTTGCTCTTCATCTAAACCAAGATGATTCAAGCGCATACGCTATGGATTGCTACACTACAGAAGTATATCGACAGACTTATGCCGAGATTATCTACCCTATTCCACATCCTTCTGAGTGGGACATACCAGATGACTTACAAACAGTTTTGCCACCAGCCATGGACAGAAGGCTACCTGGCCGACCAAAAAGTCACGATCGTATACCGTCTAAGGGTGAAGAGAAGAAGAGATCGACATGTAGTCGGTGCAAGGAATGTGGTCATACAAGGTTGACATGTGGATCACCAGTGCCAACACAATCATCTTTTCCTCTACCAAAATATGGATCCTCATCAAAATCCAAAGCTCATATGGTGTCAAGAAAAAGGCAATCAAAATCGCAATCAAAATCAAAATCGCAATCACAACCGGCTTCACCTTTTGGGACTATTAACTTAGGTGATTTTTAAATGCAAACGTTGTATTATGTGTAAATTTTTAACATTTTCAGTTAGGCATGTATTAGTAACTTGAGTTTGAACATTGATATGATCTATTCAGTTGTTATCACTTATTACACATTCATTTGAATATCGCAACGCGAATTTGACTATTATGTGTATTTTATGTGTAAACTTTTAACATTTTCAGTTAGGCATGTATTAGTAACTTGAGTTTGAACATTGCTATGATATGTTCAGTTGTTATCACTTATTACACATTCATTTGAATATCGCAACGCGAATTTGACTATCGCAACGCGAATTTGAATATCGCAACTCAAAAATCGCAACGCGAATTTGACTATCGCAACACGAATATGACTATCACAACGCAAAAATCGTAACGCGAATTTGACTATCACAACGGCTATTTGACTATCGCAATGAGAAAATCGCAACGCGAATTTGAGTATCGCAACGCGAATTTGATTATCGCAACGAGAAAATCGCAAAGCGTATTAGACTATCGCAACGCGAATTGACTTTCGCGTTGCGATTTTGTATTTCGCATTGCGAAAGTGTACCTCCAACAGATCTTTTGCCTTCAATATGATGCAGATTGAAATCAACAAATCAACTTTTACATTTCAATCAATTAAACAAGCACAAATAAGAATTATTTACACATCAATATTAAACAAATCAACTTTTACAAATCAGTTTTTATAAATCAATTAAACAAGCAAAAAATGATAATAATTCTTATTTTCCTCATCAATTAAACAAATCAGACTTTTAAGAATCAATTAAACAATCAAAAAAAGTGTACCCCATACAGTTGTTTATGCACCCATACATCAATTTCACGCAGCTCACTTCAGGATTAACCTGCAGAAACCAAACATTTGCTCAAATAACACTTTCTACACATCTAAAACCAACAAACAACAAATTATTATTGAATTCTAGGTACTTAACAACACTTGCATTTGACTTACAAATTGTTTATGGACACTTTCATAACGCGGATGCATGTAGGCAGCGTCTAAAATATATCGCTCTAGCCATAAAATGCCGAAACCACAAGCCTACTGCAGCTCTATCTCTATCGGTGGGAGGTAGAAACTGTATACTTCCTGTCGTCAAACGCTCCAAGCACATGCATACGAGAGGACCACAATCCCCTCTGGCTTCCGGCGTTTGTTGTGGCGCGGTCTCATCTCTTATAACTGTAACATTGAACTTCTTTGGCTTCTTGTTTCCAGAATAAGTCCAATAATTAATCGCATCCAAGAATTTAGCCAAATGAGAGCTCTATCCCTTAATAATATCTCTCAAATC